GGCCGGTGGGCCCCCGGGGCCGCCGCTGCAGCCCCCCGGCACGGGCCTGTGCGCTTTGTTTGCGGACCGATGTCAGCGCGGGAGGGCGGGTCACCCCCCTCCGAGAGATCAGCACCAGCTGACGCGGAACGGGAGTGGCCCGCGAGTGGGCAGCGAGGGGCCCGCCCCGGGCGCCCCCCGCTCGGGATCCAGGCCGTGGGGCTCGCCTCAGAACGGCCACCGCCTCCTTCAGGGAGCCGTTCTCTGCTTTCTTGTGCAGGGTGATTTGAGTATTTTGTTAACAAAACTAGGTTTTCCCGGGACCACTGAAAAGCTTAACAGCAGGTACAGATCTGCACTGTGCCCCGTATGCGTCTGGCATCGACGAGCCAAAGGCGGGCGGAGGCCACTTGCTTTCCTAATCTGGGGCAGCTTTACGGGAAAAGTGAAGTTGTGTTCCCCTGACTACTCTTGATTCTGTCAGCTCTCATCAGTATTTGTATAACAGACAGGAAAATGTCAAATATCCCGTGAAATACAGGCTTCCATCTTCGGAGGACGAGGGTGGAGTTCACCGTGTACTGAAGACTGGGGGCCGGGAATAAGTCACAATTTAAGAGACACTCAGGGTGTGCAGGATCCTGAGCGTCCTTGGCATGGGGAAGGTGGGCTAGGAAGCAGCCGGTTAAATTACTGCAGTCCTGCCAGTGCTCTTCCCCAGAGACTTATGGTGGGGTGGTCTTACCTTCAGTGAGCCGTACTGTACTGAACAATGGAGAGAAAAGGAGAGAAATAAAGGATCTGGTAGTTGACATATTTTTTTGTAGTTGATATTTTTACAGGGAGAGCGAAGAAGTTTTTGTGTTTATTTTTGTGTCGCAGTGAGTAGCAGGCAGTAAAGTTCGATTGACTTCATGAGTGCCATGTGCTTTTTTACCTTCAGCGCCTTAGGAGGAAGATCCATGCGTTGATTTTTTGCACCAGACCAAGACTGGTTCTCAGTTCAGTTGTCTCGGCGGGATGTCCGGTACCGGAGTGCAGCTGTTCACAGAGCAGCGTGATGGCAGCGGGTCTGAGAGAGGCTGAGTCTTTCCACCCTCGCGTCAGGGCTCCGTGGGAGACCAGGGGACCTGTGATGGAGCATTCCAGTCAAGCCAAGAAATACAGCCCACAGATGGACAGTGTCGGCCCCGAGAGCGCTCGCCAGCACTTCCGGAACTTCCACTATGGTGAAGCAGGTGGACCCCGCGAGGCCGTCGGCCAGCTTCAGGAATTGTGCCTTCGGTGGCTGAGGCCAGAAATTCACTCAAAGGAGCAGATCTTGGAACTGCTGGTGCTGGAGCAATTTCTCACCAGTCTGCCCAGGGACATGCAGTCCTGCGTGCGGAGGGGCCATCTCCAGAGTGTCGAGGAGGCCGTGGCGCTGGTGGAGTGCTTGCAGAGGGAGTCTGGCCAGACAAGGGATGGGGTGAGAAGCCACATCCGCCGTGTGTACAGCGGAGCAGGCTGAAGGCAGCACACCGGTAGTGGGGCGGACAGGAGACGAGTGGGGTCACTCGTCTTATCTTTGGGACGTTGCAGCAGGAGAGCAGACCCGCGGGTTTCCGAGACGCAGGAGACTTCCGGCCTTAGAAAAGATGCTCCTGCTGGCCGCTCCTTCTGGCCTCCGCAGCCGGGGCGAGTTGAGAGTAAACACGAGTCTGATTGGCCCAAGAGGCTGCTCGTGAGTCTTTAGGAACAACAGGCGACGAGGGTGGGGAGGAGGGGCGGTTCCAAGACAGGGACCAAGGACGAGCAGGGTAATGTAAAGGAGGAATGAACCAGCGGGGAGGGCTCAGGAGCGAAAGGGCACGAAGCTGGGAAGCCGGACGGTAGCTGGGGGGGGGGGGGGGGTGCAGTGTTCTCACACTGGAAGCTGCTCGCTTGTCACTGCTGGTCTTGGCTCTGCTGGTGAGTGGGACCCGGTCGCCTCCGCCTGTGAAGGTTCCAGCGCAGGGTGGGGCTGCTGTCGGGCCGCAGGGGGCGGGCTGGAGCCAGAGTGTTTGCCCCCTTGTTCCAGCCCGTTTTCTGTGAAAACCTTCCTTGACGGTGGGAAAAATTAGATCTACAAAGCTATGTTTTCAGGTCATTTCCTTAACTTTTGGAGAAAACTGGAAGCCAGACCAGTGAGTCGAGATGGAACCGGGAAGCAGCAGGCCGCAGGCGTCTGGGACCTGTGTGCGGAGGGGTGGGCTCGCTGTGTTGGCGAGCGGGCAGCCGAACGGTTTCTCCTGTATCTGATTTTCCCGGGTTTTGTGACTGGTTCTGGGAAATGAGCGGCCCGGGATCTCCGCGTCTTTGCCTCTTTGCTGTGATTTGCGTCCCGCTTCCCAGAGCTGGCCTGGGCGCTTGTCCGTCCCACTGCCACAAACCCCCACACCTAAAGGGAGCTCTGTGGTGACGAGGATGGGGCTTGTTTCTAGGTTGCCACCCATGAGCTGGGGAAGGAGGCCGTCTGGGGAGAAAGAGCAGCTCCAGGTTGCAGTCTGAAGCCAGCAGAGCCCAAGCCAGGGGGCGAGTCTTGGGATGAAGGACTTTGGAGTGCGGCCCAGGGCCTGCCGGAGCAGCTGAGCGGAATCACCCCTGAAGAAACTGAGCCTGTACGTGAGAGGGGTAAGGAGCGTCCTGGTGACTCCCTTTTTCTGAGCGCTCTGACACTGACTTCTCCCCCAGAGCGCTGAAAGCGCCGTGTGGGTGCCCAGCCCTGCGCCCGCAGGGGCAGGCATCTCAGCAGCTGGGTGTGCCGTCAGCCCGCCCACCACGGGTGGCTGGAGCAGGTCAGCTGTGAACCCAGCTGGGGGTTGGCCAGTGGTGAGGAAATGTCCAGCAGAATTGTGGTCCTGGCACCAGGAACCCTGTTAGAGAACGGAGAAGGTTAGGGCCACCGCAGAGCATGTGGAAGTAACTGGCGTCGGAAATGGGCTGTCAGTGTCAGAAAGTGAGCGCCACTGTGTACCAAGGAAAAAATAAATGAGAAACTGTATTTCCTACTACACGCTGGAGTCCTTGAGTACTTCATTTTTCAAATACACTGATTTTTGCCTGACATGGAAGATTTATACCAGAAGAAAACAAAAGGGTTTTTCTTTTGAAATTTCTCCCTGGAAACGGGAACCTGTTCTGGGTGCTCACAAAACCTCTGGTTTCTCCTGAGAAGCTGCTCCAGTTACGGTGTGTCGTGGCGTCCCAGCTCTGCTGGGAGAAATCGGCACGTTCTGTATTTAGAGGTGCGCTGGGCTCCTGGGGGGGAGAAACAGCCCGGCTCTTTTCCGCCACAGCCGCGCCTGCTCAGCAGATCCTGGCTTTCCCTGTGCCAGCAAAGACCAAAGACTGGACGGTGGCGCCTGCTCTTGTCTCGCCCGAGTCCCAGGTGAGCTGCGCCTCCCCTGCCGCCTGGGTCCCGCTCTGCCCAGTGGGTGCCGAAGGGGTGTGAGCCCAGGGTGTCCTCACTGGGGCCCTGGGCGCCTCCCGGGTGGTGTGCGGGTTACATGCCGCTTCTGACTTCGTGAAAGCTCCCGCCGTGTTCCTGGGTGCCGCCTGCCGTCTCGTGGGCGGGGGGAAGGGCTGTCTTCCAGTGAAGCGTTGAGCTGAATGAAGTACCTTCTGTTTTTAGAGTTTGTTGACGTTTGAAGAAGTGGCTGTTTATTTCTCCCAGGAAGAATGGGAGTTACTGGACCTCACTCAGAAGGCCCTGTACAATGACGTCATACAGGAAAACTATGAGACGATCATCTCTGTAGGTAAACGCTGGCGCCTCTCTGAGTAGACACTGAGGACCTGCTGTGTCCTGGCTCCCGGGGGACACCCCCGGGAGACTATTGCGGAAGCTGGTTCTCAGGCTGGCGAGGTCTGCGGAGGCACACCACGTCGTGGGGTGCTTTCTGAGTGCATGTATCCCCTTACCTGCAGTCTGGGTCGCCAGCTGTCCCCAGCAAATACTCTTCGCTGCTCCCCTCCCCCCCAACGGCACACCACTGAGTGCACAGCACTCATGCCGCACCTGGGCACTCACCCACTCCGGTCTCGCGGTTGGCACCCCGTGGGCCATTGCTAGGCCTCGGCGTCATCTGCACAGTCCGGGCTGGCTCCACTCTATCTTAGCCTCTTGTGCAGGCACATCCTGGCCTGCACCAGTGTATCTCCGACTGGTCACCTCAGTAGCTTCCTGTCCCTGCCCCCCTCTTCTCTCACCGTCTGTTTCCCACATGGCGCCAGAGGGATATTTTTAAAAGCCTAAGTAAGTCACGACATTGCTTTGCTTCAAAATCCTGTGGTGACATCACACAGGAGTAAGCCCCAAAGTCTTCACCTACTACCTCGAGTCTTGCTAAGATCCGGCCCCTGCTCATCTTCCCTGTTCAGGCCTTTCAACCTCGTTAGTTGTGTTTTTCGCGCTGAGTTTGTCATCTTTATTTCTACTTCCCCATTTTCCTGCTTGGCACACTGCTGCTGCATGGCAAAACGTTCAGGTTTTTCTCAAATACTACTTCCCCACAGCGGCCTTCCAAACATCTTTCTCTAAAATTAAGCTATACAGAGACAATCTCTTACCTGGATTTAGTTTCTTCAAAACATCACATTTTGACATTTTGTTTGCTCACTAATACCCGATTTTCTTCCTGTACTAGAATATGAACTCCCTGAGATAGGGACTTTATTCACCAGTATGTGCTTTGCCAGTTGGGAGTGTTTGGCACATCTCACACAGAACGTGTGAAGTGACTAAGTGGTGAATTCTCCCTATACTGGCAGTCTGTTTGCAAAAAGTCTAAGTTACCCTGGTCTGTTTCTTCCACCTGGATGTGCACTGATGAGCTCTTTGCAGTGGTGGGAACCTCTCCTAGCTGAGTGCGTGCTGCCGGAGTGCAGCGCAGTTACTGTAAATACCACAGAAACCATTTGCTATGTGGCATCCAGCCCACCGGCCTTGACATTGGCTCCGGAGAACTGGATTTCGCCAGGACAGATCCTCTCCTCATAGAGCCAGTAGGGCAGCCTTTACCCCGCACCCTCAGTACCACCTTTCTCAGAGGCGGTGTCCCGTGCCCTCTGTCCTTTCATTGATCCAGATTGGGCTAATTTGTCTGTTTTGCACATCCACCCACAAGTGAGATACAGAACAACCTGATAACTGGATTTGAACGTTTATCCACCTAATGTGGATAACACATTGAAGACGCATCCTTTGTGCTCCCTGAACTAGCCTGGACTGAGGATCACTCACTGTGAAGTTACCAGTTGCTGACCTCCTCTTCTCCACCCCACAGCATTGTACGTGCTCCCTAAACCTAACGTGATCTCCTGTCTAGAGAAAGGGGAAGATGCATGGGTCCACGGCTTGATGGAGTGCACAGACAGTCTTGCAGAGGTGCCTAAAGGTAAATAAACCGGGGAGGAGGAGACGTTGCACTTGATCGAAACCTTTACAAAGGCTTAACGTCTTAAGAGTCTCCTTTTCTGGTTTTTAAATCATTCATCATTGATTTCTCTGCCCCCTCCATTCCTGTGACTCTCTTGCTTTGCCATACCATGGCTAACACTTAACTGATGTTTATGCCAACAGGGTTAAAGCTCAAAAATGACATTGAAAGTCAGCAACCACTGTGTCTTTCTACCATGGAAGTACAAGCACCAGGGGACATAGTGTCAAAAAAGGCCAGAGTAAAAGTTTCTCAGAAAACAGTGGGCAAAGAAAACCATGGTGATTCACACCGAGTGGGGACATGCCATGGAGATAATCCAGTGAAAAAAAGAAAAAAATTTTCAACTTGGAAACAAGAGCTGTTAAAACTTATGGATCTTCACAAGAAGCACCGTGCAGGAGAGAAACCTTTTAAATGCCAGGAATGTGGGAAAAGCTTCAGAGTTAGCTCTGACCTCATTAAGCATCAAAGGATTCACACTGAAGAAAAACCGTACAAGTGCCAGCAGTGTGATAAGAGGTTTAGGTGGAGTTCAGATCTCAATAAGCACTTAACAACACATCAAGGAATAAAACCATATAAATGCTCGTGGTGTGGGAAAAGCTTCAGTCAAAATACAAATCTACATACACACCAAAGAACGCACACTGGTGAGAAGCCCTTTACGTGTCATGAATGTGGGAAAAAGTTCAGTCAGAACTCCCACCTTATTAAACACCGGAGAACCCACACAGGTGAGCAGCCTTATAGCTGTAGCATATGCAGGAGAAACTTCAGTAGGCGGTCAAGCCTTCTTAGACACCAGAAACTCCACCGATGACAAGAATCCAGTGTCCCGGTATGGAAAAGCTCACCCAGTGGAACGTGACTCTAAAGTTAATGAAATGATTCAAAATTAATGAAGAATATTTCCTCTGGAAATTTAGGTATAGAAGCATTGTTCTTCACAGAAAGAAACCAGGAAGGTTGACTGCAGGTGATGTGCTCACGAGTAGCTGTACTACTTACTAGTTTTACTTTAGCCTTCAGGGAATTCCTTAGCAAGAGACGTGCTCTAAAGACACACTGAATAAGGGGAAAACCTGCAAATTCAGCTTCAAGAAGCAGATGCAGTCATGAATCAGTTGAGAGTTCTCAGTGACTACAGAGGGAAACATTATTGGTTCCACATTTATCTTCCCATTCACTCTTAAAACAGAAGTGTTTGCCATGTGGTCTTCCAGAACACAAAGCAACAACTTGCATATTAATTGCATATCATTGGCTTCAAGGTAGCAAGCTTACTGAGTTCAGTAGTCTTCACGAAATTCTAATGTAGACTTTCCTGAAAGCCAAATTGGATTTTCTTCCTTTCTCTTGTCATTAGGCTCTGTTCACAGAATTGGACATTGAGTTCCTTTAACTTTTTAGCAGTGGTAGTCCTTGACTCCTATTAGGATGATTGTTTTACAGTGATGAAATCATGTTCACTGGGATATCTGCCACATGGACTAAATGCACTATGCTTGTGCCTCTCTTTGGTGGTGTTGGCAAAAAGAAAAACATCTACTGAGGTCATACAGAAAACGGGTTGGAATTTTTAGCCATGGACTGCATGTTTAATTGCATATCACTGTCTTCTAGGTAGCAAGCTTACTGAGTTCAGTGGTCTCATGAAATTCTAATGTAGACTTTCCTGAGAACCAAATTGGTTCTCGAAATTTTTTGCATTAATCTAGCTTGTTCCTTTACCTCACAGTGTCAGTGGGTAAAACAGCCATAAGAATTAGCACTTTCTTGATTCCTGAAAGAAGGTTATGAGAGTTCAGGATCAACTCAGGTTTGATGTTAAATTTGGCTTTTGTTCAGAACAAGGATTGAGCTGTTTGGACTGGAATGTGTACCCCAAGTGAGGTCCTGTCATCCCCAAACCTGACCACCCGTCAACAGGAAATTGGGTTCCCAGAGGAGAGGTTTGGGGACTGGCGCTGGGTGTGTGGCAGGGCTGCGCACGTCCGCTTCTGTGGTGTTTGTCTGACACTGGTGACGGTCCGGGGTCTCCTGAGCGGTGCATTTGGCAGACTGCTGAGTGATGGTGTTTATTTGCTACAGATTTTTCTTATAATTTACCTTTTTATATCCAACTTTTACTCAGGTGTTTCTGTTAGTGCTTTTAAATATCAGGGAAGGGATTCACGAAATGATCTCTTAGAAATGAAATTAGGGCTCCAAGAGATGCAGGCATGTATTCAAGACTGTGAGTAGAGGGCCTTCAGTCACTGAAATCATCGGGCCGAGGCTGGATTCGCACGAATCTGCGTGTTGTCCCTGTACGGCCGGCCTCCATGACATTGAATGTACTTTTAGCTTACAAAGCATTCCTACTGTTGAGTTTCCCTGAGATGCTCTTAGGTCTCCGTTTTCTTTACAGAGGTAACAACTCAGGGCTGTTCCGGGAGCTGGACTGGTGGAAGGAAAGCAGCTGGCGCGCCTGGCCAGAGCTGCTCCGTCGGGGTTCCCCCGCGTGCCCGTGACACGGTGGGGGACAGCCCCATGGAGGGAGCCGATGCCTCGGTCGCTCTGGCGGCTCGCTGGAGGAGCTCAGTGCTGGAGTCGGATGAGCCACATTGCCGCTGACGTGAGCGCGGCTGAGCTCTGGGCAGCATAGCTGTCACCGTGTCATTGGCCTGCGATGCCTGGACTTTGTTTTCTCCCAGGGTCAATGTGTTTCTCGCTGGCACGGCCCTTGCTCGGTTACGCTGACTGAGGGCCTGTGGTGTGCCCAGGTGTTGTTCGGGGCTGAGGTACAACCACGAAGGGGAGCCACAGACCATGGCTCCCGGCTTGCGCTCCAGGGAGCGGTGCCCAGGTGGTCACGCGTCCCTGCTCCCAGCGGTGCAGCTCGCGAGTTTTGAGCCGTGGGTGGTGAGCAACGGCCTCACTTCTGTGCTGAAGTGCGTGTTGCTACTAAACTGGTGTAGTCTCCAGTCACGCAAACGCACCGGAGCCGTGGTCGCTACGTCTGGAGCGCGGGGCCCTGCGCGGAGGGCGTTTGTTCCCTGACCTCTGGTGGCCTTCGCGGGAATGAGAAATAAATATTGAGTTAAACAGGTGTGGGTGCTTGGTTTCTGCAGCACAGCCTGTCCTGCGGGCGGCCGTTCCGCTGGAACCACTTCTCTTCGCCCGGGTTGTTTCTTGTTGTGAGTGGCTGTTTACTGTGTCACTAATTGCTGAAGCCCAGCGAGCCACCCCGGCAGCTGCCTGGGGTCAGGTGCCGACCCTCACGGACCGCCCTCGGGGACCGCCCCTCGGTCTGGTAGCCTGCCTCGCGGCCCGGCTCCACAGGTAGCTGTCTGCTTGGCGCAGTCGCCACTTCGCAGTCCGCTGTGGGCAGCAGCCGCCTTCGAGCCCCAGAGGCGGCGCCTGAGGGCGCCTGCAGGTGGGACGGTCTCGGCCACTTGCCCTGCAGCTGAGACTGGAGTTCACCTGGCCGTTGGCCGGGAAGGGAACGGCTTGCTCCGGGTGCTCCGCTGAGCTCACGCGGCCCTGCCGGGAGGCCAGGCGGACGGGGCGCGGCTCCCTGCCGGCGGGGTGCCTCTTGCGCCCCCGCACCTGCTTCCCACAGCCGTGTACACGGTCACCGTCCTCGTGGCCGGACTGGCAGGTGGGGGAGGCGGTTGCCGCCCCTCTCTGGCGCTCGAGTCGGCCCTCGGTTTGCGTCTGAGGCGGGTGTGGGGAGATAGCTGCCCTTCCCTGGCGGGTGGGGGGTTGTCGGGAAGACGCTTGGGTGGGGAGTAGGAGCTGGACGCCAAACGGGAAGCGAAAAGCCTGCAGGAGAAAGTCACGGCTCAGCCAGACGCCAGCAAGGCCTGTCAACTCGTGCTTGGAATTGGGGTGAGTCTGCAGGAGCGGGAAGAAGGAATTTCCTACAGCCTCGGCTCAGGGCCGAGCAATGATTAAGCAGGAGGCGATCAGAGCCTTCAGTCTGGCCTTACAGTCTGGGGTGCGCCTAGGTCGGTTTGGCCCAGACAGCACCAGCGGTTCTCCACACGGCCGGCAAGAGCCAGAGGGTGCTCTCTGTCCTGACAGTTGCCTCGCCGTGGCGTCAGGGTCGGCTCTGAGCTGTCGCTCATCCAGCTTGGCCCCAGCCCCCACCCCTGTGCCCGGGCTGACGTGACCTCAGATCTGGGACCGGCCCTGCCCGGTTCTCCCAGTGAGCAGGCTGGAAGCCCACGCTGCTCTTGAGCTCAGCTACCTGGCAGCGGGCTTTGATTCGCCTCTGGAAGAAACCAGAACCGTGGCCGAGCCCTGTGACGAGTTTGAGAGGAAGACTGCGGGTGCTCTCTCCTGACTAAAGGGGAAGTTGGGAAACAGACTCGGGCTTCACGGGGGCCTCTAACGCTCTCGGTTCCCTGTGGCCTGTCGCCCTCTGCTTTCCTGGGCAGCTCCCATGTGAGTGAGGGGCCCAGGCTGCCGCTGAACCCTTTTTCTCTGAGAAAGGTTTTCCCTGGAGCGCTAGAGTGGATTCCTCGCCCTCCAAGTTCCCCTGTGGCCGGGTTCTCGCCATCTAGTCTCTGAGGTGCCCTCTGGTAGGAAACGTCAGGCCACTCTGCCTGGGTTCTTTCCAAGACACAAAGGCGTCGCTGTTCTGGGGACGAGACAGGAGCACCCCTTGGAGCTTCTGTTAGATGACACATTCAGAAATTCACCTACGGGTTCTCCACATGCGGCGACATCAGACTGTTGTGCCCCAGCCTCCACCAGTCTTGTGTGACTGGCCCGGAGCTGGTCCTGCTGCGCTCGGGCCGGCCCCTACTCAGGAGAGGAACTGGCCGGCACGCGCGTATCTCTGAGTCAGGAAAACTGTCGCGATCACTTAATGTCTAGGACAGTGGGGCGGTGAGTCAGGCTGTGCTCGTCGTAACTGACACACAAGTCCGGCTGTATCGTATTTGGGTGCAGTGTACCTTTTCAGGAAGGAAACAACGCCTGAGTTGCACCCTGAGCACTCGCCGTGACTTGTCCAAAACAGGGAAGGGGTTGACGTTCACAGCGACAGGACAGTTAAATATCTGGCTGTGCGGAGAGACAGGTTTTCTACCACCACATCTGTCGTTTTATTTTTGAAAGAGCTTCCAACATAAGGCCCCAAGTAGTGCGTGCAAATCAGCGACCCGCACGTGTCACAGGTGACCAGCGCGACCTGCCGGGCGCCCCCACCCCGTCTGGGGGCTGGCAGAGGGCAGCTTCTCACTCTGCGTGGTCACCCGGTCACCGTGTCCGAGCCGGCACCTGGCCCAGCTGGCCCAGCGCATTCCAGTGTGATGCACACAGAAGTGTCCTTAGTGTGTCAGAGTTGTTTTTTAATGTTAATAGCTTACAAAAGAACGACACCTCCTTTTTTCCCTAAGGGTTTGTTTGCCAGCAAGCACGGGGCGGGGGCGGGCGGGTGAGCACTCAGCGCAGACTGGGGAGCAGACAGGGGACGCGCTGCTGAGGGGGCGGGGGAGACAGGAGGGGGCTGCAGTGCCGGGCTCACCCTGGCCTGGGAGGGCCGCGGCGCCAGCAGGGCGCCCCAGAACACCTGACGCGGAAGAGTTGGTGCCACTTCCCGGCATCAGCTGTTCTTGCCGGGGAAGCTGCGTCCTGGCGCCACCCGGGAGCCGAGCGGGGCTGGCACAGAGGGCTCGTGGGCTTCCGAGCCCCATGTCCCCGTGATTTTTTTCTTTTCCTTTGTTTTGCATTTGTTTTATTCTCAGTGACGCTCTTTATCTTTGTTCTGGGATTCCAGGCAATACTCAGCTGCCGCAAAGGCAGCAGGTCCCCAATGGAGCCCTACAAGGCGCCAGTCCCCCTTGCTGCCTCTCCGCCCTGAGCACTCTGGCTGGTGCCCTCAGGACACACCAGACCTTAGAGCTCCCTGGCGACCTTGTCCTGTCTGTCTGCTGCCTTAGGATGCAGCCGCGTGAGGGCAGGAGCTGTGCCCGGCTGGCAAAGCTGTGAGTTTTCATTGCTGAGCAGAAGGCTGAAATGTCAGGGCCTCCCTGGCGCAGGGCGAGCCTCAGCACTGTGGAGCTGTCCGCAGCCACTGCACACCAGTCCGTCCCTCCAGGGAGTGACCCCACGTGCTCTCCCTTCGGTGAAATCTCTCACTCCTGCACCTCTGGCCTGCACCCCAGCTCTTGTCTGCACACACAAATCTGCATCAGCAGAGACTCCAGTACAAGCTTCAACAGCGGTCAGCATTTTGCCAATCTTGTGTCACTGGGCCCTTCCCGTTTGGGGGCTTTTTCAGGTTGTGTGATTATTTTAAGAGGGTTGGTTGTTTTGGGGGTGTTTTAAAGCAAATCTCAGGCATCGTAACATTTTATTCATTAAAAGTTCCGTTTTTGTTGTTTTAGCAAAAAAAAGATTCTTGACAACCTCTACCCTAAATCCTCTTGGAGAAAGAGACGCCCCACTCAGCAGGGAGCGCCCTCCTCAGCCTCCCTGCTGAGGTTCATTGGGAGCTTGGCAGCCGCCTTTCCCTTCCCCAGAGGCCCCCAGACTTGCCCACGACTTCTCCTTCAGAGGAACTGGCGGCCCCTCCCCGAGGCTCGTTTATGGGGACGCCAGGCGCCTGGGTGCTTCCTGAGGAGGCTGGTCCGCAGGGCCCCAAGTTCCCCGTAATGATCCCCAGAGCAACTTTTTAGTAAGTTGGAACAACGCTGCCTCCTGCACTTTTAACGAGCCCCACGGTGATTTCCTCATTAGGAGTTCGGTGGCTGCACAGCATGCCTGGCTTCCTGGGCTCACAGGAGAGCAGAGGAAATGACGCCATCACCCTCGGGCACCTCTGGAGGGCACCTCCCAGGAGGTGCCCTCGTTTACCTACTTGCTAGGCTCTCAATTTTTTTTGCTGGAAGTGAGGGACGCTACAACACTCGGGTTTCGTTGTGACTGACCCTCTAAGCGTGCTCCTGGTTCTATTTCCTTATTAGCATGTGGCCACCACATTTTAGAAACTGCTGAGGAGAAAATACTTGATCTTCCTCTTGCTGTTCTGTTTTCGTCCCATCTAGTGTCCGGCATCCTGTTAATAAGGAATTTTCTCTCCTGAAGCGATTGTCAGCTGAAATTTCCAAGTGGACGCTCACATTATCTGCTTTAAAAGCTGGCCCTGTCCTTATCCCTGTGTGAGCATGCTGGCTCCCTGGAGCTTTCAGAAAGGCAGGCACTGCGTACAGTCAAAGTTGGCAAAAAATTTCTCGAACATTTTCTGTCTGCCGGGCACATTACCAGGTCACACATTTTACTTTGCTTTGGCCTTTTAAAATGCTAGACTTGGGTTAAAGGAAACATTTTTCTAGGCTTCTTTACATTGTTGTTTTATTTTGAAAGACTTACATACTTGTTCATACAGCCCTCAGGTGCAGGCCAGGAGTGCAGGCGCAGTGACGGGGTCCCCGAGACAGAGCGGGGAGCAGGACAGGTGGATGGCTGAAACCCTCTGCTGAGGGGCAGCAGGGACACAGGAGGGTCTGCTGTGCCCTGGGGGGCCCTTTCTGGGGGGGGGCGGGATGGACTAAGGCCAAAGTGTCTGCAATTAGATTCATAGTGGAGAGCCTTAACCCCTTCATCACCAGGAAGGACCTACTCTTCCGGTTTTTAATAAGGTTTTTTGTTGTTGAGTTGGATGAGCTATTGACATATTTTGGATATCAGTTGCTTGTCAGATACATGACTTGTGAATATATTCCTCCACTCATTAGGTTGCAGTGTTTTTTTTTTTTTTTTTTAAAGATGTATGTATGTATTCATACAGAACTGGGGCACAGGCCAGAGGTGCAGGGGTGGCGAGAGGCTTCACCAGAGACAGCGGGGAGCAGAACAGGCCGACTTATGAAGCACACTGCTGAGGGGAGCAGTGGGTGGGTCAGGAGGGGTCTGCCGTGCCCTGTGGTCACCTCTGGGGCTGAGGATCAAAATGCACACTGAGCCGCTGCAGTTCGCTTGCAGTGCGGCATCCTAACACTTTCCACCACCAGGGAGGGCCCAGGTGCAGTGTCTTAATGATTGTTTCTTTTGCTGTTTAGATCTTTAGTTTCATTTTTTTATT